CGAAAGTCAAGTTGAACATAAAAACGGCCGACAGTAGTACTGGTTACTTTGGATTTTTTACCTATTGAATTGTCACCCGCCAGGTTATGGTCACCAGATTGCGGTCGCCAGGCCTTACTTTAAAGAGAGTTTTGCATGGTATTTTATTCTTTTTATTTGGATCATTAGATTGTCTTGAGATCCGTACAGATCATTTATAGGTATACATATTAAGTTTTCCATTTTTTTTGCTCCTTAATAGTGACAGCAGCGATACGGACATAAAAATTTTTAAAACAAAAAATATGGTCAAATGAATTACTGATGATACTCCTTGTTTAGGAGCTCTTTGTGCTTCGTTCTGGAAGCTTTTGGGCTTTCTCGCCGGTTTCGAAGTAATATTCTTCGAATCGACTTTTTGGCATGTGTTGTTGGTCGACTATCCTGGCTTATATATCAGTTTGATCCATACTGCATTATTTGCTTGCAAAAGTTACCTGTGATGAACATTGGTGTTGGTTGATGACTCGGATCTTCGAACAGATAGTTAGTCATTCATGATGTATTTACCTCTTTACCCATAAGTCTTACAATGCTTGTATCTCATTCGCTCAGTCGGATCGTCACCTCAGTCAGGCTGCACCTTTCACTAGGTTTAAGGTGGATCTCGGAGCTGACTTCGCATGGGTAACCATTGAGACTAGCTATTGAGGTGATTTGTGTCATGCCCTTCGAGGAGCTTGTCAGGACAAAGCAGGGAACCACCACCAGAGCTTTATCCGTGTCGAGTATAGAGACAGAGATTTTTATTTTGTTCGGCATTGAAGGTCGATTGTAGGACCTACCGAACGATCTTGGCTTTGCAGCCAATCGTTTTTATTCGACCAGGGGGCTTATGTCGTGTCCGGTATATATCCAGGGCATTGAAGCTGGGTTCTAACATTTCACTTGTGTGAATCCTTGGTCGCCCGGTCGGATCTCACTCTTAGGTTGAGTCCCCTCTTTATGGGAGGAGGCCGCCTAAACTCCTCTTCGGGATGATTGTCGCAGTCCCCTTCACGGAGCATTGTAGTTACGGGACAGCGAGCCATCTCCAGCTTTCTGGGTAAGGAAAGTCCCTTGGTTGGCCCTTATGGTGTTTTATCAATTGGAAGTTTATGACATCGTTGTCGGTTATTTTTTATGTTTTTAACCGATATGATGTTGTTGGCACCGCTGTCGATTTTGCTATCTAGGTTCGAGTTCCCAAAATGTCAGGTGACTTCTAGAATGTTTGAACTCTTTGAGCTCTTTAAGTCTTGACTTGACCTCTCACATTGAAATACCAAATGTTATAATACACATGTGTAATAGAATAAGCTTTGAAGAAAACAATATGGTCATACACCAAAAAAATAACAATCTATTTGTGGTCAAAGACTACAAATATAGCTAATAAAACAAAAATTTTGATATGAAGCTGAAGCATTTGTATGTTAATTCATATAATAAGAACAGAAGGACGAATCCTTTGTGTAGTTATGTTTCTTCAAACTTGAAAATGTTTACTAGATTAAACTAGATTAGATATAGAAAATAAAATTTAATAAATAATTTTAAATTTTTGGACGTAAAAAGATTACTATATTATTTTAAATAATAGATATAAGAAAGTTTTCATTTGAAATCTCATATAGTTAAAAAATCTTCAGAAATCATAAAGTTTTTAATTGCAACAAACCGAAATAATGATACTTCCTTCAAGAAGCAAATTACCTCGCTAATATGATTTTGTAGATGGCGAGAATTAGGTCGTTTGTATATATATATTTCAATGTGTGTGTGTGTGTGAATATATAAGAATTGAGTGGTATGTATGTAAATCTTTCATGTTTTTGAGGTGGTCGGCCGGAAATCGAAGAGACGGTTGGTTGGTGGTTGGTGGTTGGCGGATATGGGTGTAGGTTGGAGATGGTCGGTTGGACACACAGATGAGATGGCTGGGAGGAAAATGGTCTCGTGTGGAAATAGACGGGAGGAAAATAGCCATCTCTTTTCCTTAACCTTCCACAAGTCATGCGAATGGCATCTTCCTGGCGAATGCAGCCCGACAACCGCAGTCTGGCAACTATAGCATGACAACCATAAATTTGAAAGAGAAAAAATTTGATAGATAAAATACCCAAAGTAACTTGTACCATCCCCTCTTTAGAGAGGGTAATAATGTAATTCTATTTTTGGTCCTCCTATCACCTGTAATTCTGTTCTTAAAATATGAATTAACATACAAATGCTTGAGCGCTGAATCAAAATTTTTGCTTTAATAACTATATTTATAGTCCTCTTCGACCACATATAGGTTGTTATTTTCTTGAGTATGATCATGTTGTTTACTTCAAAGCTTATTATATTACACATGTGTTTTATAATATTAGGTATTTCAATGTGAGAGATCAGGTCAAAACTCGGGGAGCTCAATAAGTTCAAGTATTCTGGAAGTCACCCGACACTCGAGAAACTCAAACCTGGATAGAAAAACCGGCAGTGACACTAAGAACGTCTGATCAGTTAAAGGCATAAAAAATAACTGACAACAACATCATAGACGTCAGATCGGCAAAACACCATAAGAGCCAGACAAGGGACTTACCTTACCACGAGCCCAAGTCTCGTGACTTAGATTAGATGAAAAGCAGGAGATGGTTCACTACTCCGTAGCGACAAGCTTCGTGAAGGGTATGGCGACAAATATTCCGAAGTGAAGTCTAAACGGCCTCCTCCCATAGAGAGTGAACCCAACCTAAGACGAAGGTTCAACCGGGTGACCAAGCCCATGCAAGTGAAAGGTTAGAATCCAGCTTCAACGCCCCGGATATATAATAGTAGCGGCATATGCCTCTGGTTGAATAAAAAAGATCAACCACGAGGCCAAGATCACTCGGTCGGTCTCACAATCGGTCCTCAACGCCAAGCATTAAAAAAATGTCTCTATACTCTACACGGATAAAGCTCTAGAGATGATTCTTTGCCCAGTAATGGCAAGCTCAACGAAGGGTATGGCGCAAATCACCTTAGTAGCGCGTCTCAGAGGTTACCCCGATGAAGGCAACGACAAGATCTGCTTAAGACCTGGCGAAAGGTGCGACCCAGCCAAAGCGAAGATCTGACCAAGCGAATGAGACACGAACATTATTAAACTTGTGTCGGATAGTAAATGCAACAAGAATGATCAACGATCTTTCTGAATATCTAAGTCAATAACCAACACTAATATTCATCACAAACAACTTTCATAAGCAAATAGCATGGTAAAGATCAAATTGTTAGATGAGTAAAGCCAGTCAACCGGCAGCACAAACCAAAAAGTCGATTCGAAGAAAAATGCTTCAGAGCCAACGAGATAGCCCAAAAGCTGCCAAAAAGAAACACAAAGAGCGCTT